AACACGAAATGAGATTGAAGATATAAAGCTTTTAATAAAGAACACTTGTCACCAACAGCATATGAATACAAAAGGTACAGATTCTCACAGTGTAGACAGAATTCTCTATACGGTCACCACGTAGCACCTCCCCCAAATTTCAGCATTGTTCAGGATCTTGGGTGGCTTACTGTAGTTCAAGTAATAATAGTCATATGGCAGTTGAGTCTTTGTAGATGACAATTTGTTCACTTTTACATAAAGGGGATCACCCTGTTTAGAATCAGAAAAAGGACAATTTAAGTCTTAATACAATAATAACAATAAAGGAGATAAAAACCATGAAAAAAAAAGATATTGAAGACTTTAACAAAATTCAGAAGCAGAACAATATAATCTGAATATTCTCTCCACAGATCCCTTGCCTTCAAAATTAGGAAACGGACAATTTTTTCAAGCAAAGTAATATGTACCCTTGAGGATACTAAAGAAAAATGCAAAACAGCGTTGCAGGCTTACCAACATTAGATCGTACAAACAAATAGCCCCGGTGCCACATAAAATTAACACCAAATATGCTTTTATGCTTTTAACCCTATATAGTCGATAATCTTTTGAAACTTCGAAAAATTATTGTATTTATCTTCATAGTTTTGGATATTCATTGGATTTAAGGAAATAAATTACGAGAAACACATCTTTAATTTCAGAAGATTTTAAGAAAAAGAAAAGGTGTGATGCTGAGAAAGAATGACGTAGCCTTTATTTCTTGATATCGATAATCGTGAGAGAGTAACTGAGAGCTCTAGTATTCCTCAATTCTCAAACCACGCCAAAAGCCCCCGGTGATCAAATGGCTAAGTTATAAGCTTTATAAAAATTAACCATGCATAACAGTAATGATATTATGAGCTTAAAACTAGATCACGTCAGGGATCAGCAAAGGGTGTTTGCAATTCACATTACACCATAATCAGGAAACGCGGTCCATTTTGCAAGTCAAATATGAAATAATTAACACAGACAGGCCAGCTTTCGGTTGCATTCTAAAACACTCTTTATAAGCTTGCGCCAAAAAATATTACGAAACGCCAGCTTCCAGTTACATTCTAAACATTCCATCATTTGTTAAGCAAAATATGGTTATCCCAGCATTAAGATTCAAATGGTAGTAGCAAACTATGCTGCTCCAACTCTTCATTTTTGTGCAGGTACTGACAGGCATGCATGGATACATCATCCATGTATTTGACCTCCAAAGATCAATCAAATTCACGGAAACTCCTAGAAAAATCCGAGTCCGAAATCCGAATATTAAAGGCAATCAGGCCCGGAAACAAAATTTTATACTGGGGAGTGCCAACTTAGGAACCTATATTAGAAAGTTAGAGGGTGCGAAATACAAAATTAGAAAGGGGTGAAATTAAACTAGAAAAATACAAAGAAAATATCTAAAACTATACCACCATCGGTCCATCTCTGGTAGCAAATGTTGTTAAGCTTACGGTAGTACTAGTACACCATTTCAGAACCAAAATCCAAAACAAGCAACGCAATCACCATTAAAACGAAACTAAAATCAAAATCCAAACTTTTTTTTAAAAAGGAAACCGCAGAAGGAGAAAGAAAACAAGTACAGATCAAAAAGAGAAATGAATACACCTGCACATCAGATCAACACTTAAAATCCCTAGATCAAACTACAATATCCCATCAACAAAAAACAAAAACTCACCCACGAATCCCACAAACATTAAAGATAAAACAAGAAAAAAGAGAAAATCCAGAGCGGGATATTGGAAAAAAAAGTACCCTTTGAAAATCACGAGGAGCTACACCCGGGAGATAGAAGGAATGAGCAGTGGATAGCAGTAGCAGAAAAGCGAAGAATAGAGTCTTCTTCTTCGTACCCATTTCTCTGTTTCAACAGAGATTGAAAGAGAAGTCCTAGAAGATAGTTGACAGAGACTGGGATAGACAATATATGTGTCACAAACACGGTTAATTGCATTATAAGTCCTCCTATAGTTGATCTTCCAACTTTAAAACATTCAAATTAAGTACTTAAAGTGTTGCTATTCTACCAAATATCAGTTAATTCCTGTTCTTATTAACTTTTTTTAGTAGTATGTGATAATTACAAATTAATATTAGTTCATAATTTTTTTAAAAAATGACAATGTATATATACTTTACAGTTATAACGGTTTAAATTCAATACCTCAAATAACGACAACACTTCTTTAAACCTTTGAGATTACTCAAATATGATAAGGAGCATATTTATAATATTTAAATAATAAATATGTATGTAGTTATTGTATAAATATTTTTTAATTTATTTTAGTATAGTTTTTTAATAAAAATTGTTAATTTTATTAAATTAAAATATTTAAATTACAATGAAAGTTTACCACTATAAGTATAAATTAAACACATAATAAATACAATTTTCTATAATCATTAATATAAGAAACTAGTCACTTAAATTACATAAATGTCATACAAAAGAAAGATTAAAAAATATAACTAAATAAACTTGAATAAAAGGTAAAATAAATAAGTCTGACTGCAACGATAAATAAACCATAAAAGATGATCAAACTATTAAAAGGTTACTGGCAATGACAAATCGCAACTCAAAATTGAAGGACATGAGAAGATTATACACAAATGCAAATATGGTATCTAAATCTAATTTGAGAGTTCAAAGCATAGAAGATCAACATGATAACAAATCAACGCCATCTTACGTAGTTGTGAATATGTCAAATTCACTTTAAAAAAATATAAACAAAAATAACAATCAAATAAATGAAAATTTCCCAAAAGATAAACAACATGTTGTAGATGAAGAGAAAAATGTTTTATAAAAACAAAATTATTAAAAATTAAAAATAAGAATATAATATTACCCCTAATCATAAAGATGAATAGTAAAAGAGATTAAACACGACGTAAATTTGAACTTATTTATATAGATACATATCTTAATCTATATATTTAGATATGTTTTATGTTCAAATTAGTATATAATATTTAAGTTCCGTATAAATTAATAAAAAGGCCTAATTGATACAATAATATTTTATGTCATTAATTATGCACAACTAGGCTTCGGCCATTTCAAATAATCCACAAAAGCGTTAACATATAAGCAGATAATTTCGTCTCGATTTAAATCGAATATAATTTAAATAATTATAAAATATACTTTTTAAAATTTAAATTTACAAACATTGATGTAAAACTATTTACAATGTCTATTATATTAAAATTAAAAAAATAGTTATTTAAATATATTGGTGAATCTGAGTCTTTAATCCTTTTAAACTAAGTTGGTAGAGCACAAGGTTCTTAACCTTGAGGTTGTGGGATCGAGTCTCATGGAGGGCATTTTCATAATTTGGAGGTCTCCTACGGAAGCTGCTCTCAACTTAGTATTGGAGGCAGCCTACTATCTTACCTCCCCCTTACTCTATTATATATGAGAACAAGGGACAACCATTTTATATGTCTTCTCTAAGTTTATCTATAGTATGTTTAGTCCATTATCAATTCCTAATCCAATTAGAAAAGTAAATTATAATTCAAGTCACTCAATTATGTATTTGCTAATAAATATGTTACTTTCTCTAAATTTACAATTTTAATGCTCAAATAAACTATTACTACAGTCTACAAATATGTTATTGGTTATTAAAAATAAAACATATGTCTAATTGGTCTTGGTAGAATAATATTTTTAGTTCTTAAAATTTATAAAATCTATCACTTTGGTCATAGTTTGAAATAATTTAATAAATTTAATTTTTCATATTTAAAGATTCTATCAATTTATTCTTTCTGTGATACCGTCAAATCAAATGAGTACGTGAGATCAAAGCAGTTGTTAGATAACTGTCATGGACGGACACATGATTTTGTGCCATGGGCAAATTTCTAAAATTTTAGGAGATTAACTTAAAAATTATAGGGAGGGCTGAAACATATTATTTATAAAAAATATAAATAAACTATCTAAAATATATAATAATTTAAAGTTTCCAATCGTCGGCCACTGCCTCTATCCATCCGTACTCTTTCATAAAATAAAATAAATTCTTATTAATTTTTATTATACTAAGAAAGTAACATGAAAAGTAATGTAATATAATATTTTTGAGAGAAAAATAAGTAATTTAGGACTTAGGAGAAGAATAAATATCAAATTAAAGAAATTCTTAAATATAAACAGTTAATTTATTGAGTTATTTCAAATTATAACTAAATTATTAGAATGCATAATTTTTTAGGACTAAACCACTGTTTTATCTAATATTTGATTGTATTTTTTCAATATAAGGTAATCACAATGTAATATCTGTTCAAAGATAACTTTTAATCATTTTACATTAAACGCTCACACCCTTAACATTCTTAGTGCTCGAACTCGGGACTTCAAGGAATAACAACAATTCTTTTATCACCGAGGTCACTTGATTCGTGTAATATTTTAAGTGTATGCGGTATATTATAATAATATTTTAATTAAATGATTAAATTATATTTAAAAATAATAATTTATTACCAAACATATAATGTTTAGATCAAAGTGGTCTCTTAATTTTATAATATTGAATTGTTGATATTAAAATTTAAAAAATGATCCTATAACTATAAATGTTATTTTATTAAATTTTTTATTACTAAAAATTTATAAAATGATCATTTAATTATTCATATCTTAAATAATATATATTCAAAACTCTAAATCTTTCAACAATCAAACAATCATATCCTCCATGTTCGAGCCTGAATCTTCAAACAAGAACAACAAATTTCTTAGCCCACTTGGAAATATTTATATGCATTTTAACGCATTAAAAAACTACTGAAATGTTCTTAATTTAACTACTGAGGTGGCAAAGATGGGGACTAAAACCCTACTGAAAATGAACGTGGAAAGCACTTCATTAAGCCTTTTAAAACGGAACGGAACCGAACTCAACGCCTTTTTCCCATTTTCTCGTTCAATACCAATTCTTTTTCATTTTCCCTTCATTGTTTCTGCCTCAACAAACACACACATTTTTGCAGACAGTGAAATAGAGTTCCTAAAACCTTAAAATCCACGAAGATCAGACACCATGTATAGAGCTGCTCTTTCCCGTTTCAGGGCACTCAAGGTCAGTTTTTTTTTCCTCTTCTTTAGCGCCCAATACCCTATGTGTTTTCTGTTTGTTTCTCGAGAAACTACATTAAATCAATATGAAAGAAGAAAACCCAGAACGAGTTTATGGGTTTTTTGTCACATGGGTTTCGGTTCAAGACCCATTTCAATGTCCATTCAGTCACATTTTTTTTTTCTTCATTTCATTAGGCGCTCCATGAAGTTAATTGGTTATTGTTATTTCGTGTTTGTATTCCTTATATGATACGATTGTTTCTTGCCAATAGTATTTTGTTTTGATGGTAAAATGGGGAAAATAATTAGATTTTTGTTTAGTCACTTACAGAGAAATGATTTTCGAACATTTATGAATAGGGTCGCACTGGTAATTTGGCAGCTGCTCGATTCACCACTTCAAGTGCTGTTGCTCCTTTGGATACACCGTTAGACGGCATTTCCCTTCCGCCCTCATTACCTGATTACGTCGCACCCAGTGAAACTAAGGTTAAAACCCTTTCCAATGGTGTGAGAATCGCCTCGGAGCAATTACCGGTATCCGAAATATCTTCTCTTCATTTATTCAACCCTTATTCCATCTTAAGTGTTGCTGCTACCTCAGTTTGTTGATTGTTTAATCGGTTACGGTGTAGTGATGTTCTTTGCTTGTTTTACCAGACTCCTGCTGCCTCGGTTGGCGTATTTGTTAATTGTGGTTCCATTTACGAAACACCAATATCATCTGGTGCCTCCCACTTGCTTGAGCGAATGGCATTCAAGAGCACTAACCGCAGCCACTTGCGCGTCGTTAGGGAAGTTGAGGCAATTGGAGGTAACACATCGGCCTCGGCCTCGAGGGAGTGCATGACATACACGGTTGATGCCCTTAAGACCTATGTTCCTGAAATGGTAGAATTGCTTATTGACTGTGTGCGAAATCCCGCTTTTATGGATTGGGAAGTTAATGAAGAGGTAATCTGTTTTAAATCTTTCCCAATTTTCCAGCATCCTATCAAACTTACTTTATGTTAATTACAATACGTACCATTGACTAATTTTCATAAAATTATGCACTTCACATTAATTAGCTCTACTGTTTTGTGTACAAGTAAAGTTATATGCCAATTTATGTAGATTTCTAGCTTTAGCATTTATACCTGTGTGGTTTGGGAATGAGGACCCGATGCTTTGGCTATTAATAATAAGCTCAGATCCTGGAATTTCTTTTCCCTTATTTTGAGTTTTCAATATGTACCACATTCCTGTACAGGTGCAAAAGATTAAAGCTGAGTTGGAGGAAGTTTTGAAAAACCCTGAGCGCTTAATTTTGGAGGCAGTTCACTCCACTGGTTACTCTGGTCCACTGGCCAATCCTCTCTTGGCTTCCGAAACAGCAATAGACGGATTGGACAGCAGCATTTTGGAAGAATTCGTTACTGTAAGGATATTTTCTATTCTATCTGTAACCTTGTATGTTCTTTTACATATATATAAAAGAAATTAGTACTGCGAACATATGACTTTTGTGTGATTGATGACATTTCCGAGTTTATTTATGTGCTTGTTTTGCTGAATGGTGGTTTGTTCGAGGGTTTCAGGAGAACTATAAGGGGAATAGAATTGTCGTGGCAGCATCTGGCATTGAAAATGAAGAGCTTCTTCAGATTGCTGAGCCACTTCTGTCCGACCTCCCAGTCGGACCCCAACCGAAAGAGCCAAAATCTGTTTATGTTGGTGGCGATTTCCGTCGTCGATCTGATTCACCGGTATGCTTGTACCATTCATCTGATATAAAAACTCTCTTTCGAACTTCTAGATTTCTTCTTCTTGTAGATTGAACGATTTGGTTGTAAATTGCAGAGTACCCATTTTGCTCTTGCTTTTGAAGTAACTGGTGGCTGGAATAACGAGAAAGACTCTGTCACTTTGACTGTAATGCAGGTGCCGGGTTTTGAACTTTGCTTCATTTATTGTTTAATTTTGTTATAATCATGTATTCATTTCCTTTTTCATTTATTAAGATTCACTGTGAAACTTTCGGGCCAGACGAATATTTTTGTGAAAAATCTTCCCAATTTTTTTTCCTTTTAGTTTCTCTTATCATTTCATATGATTACCACTTGAATGGTATTAATGATTCTGGTTGACCTACAGATGCTTATGGGAGGAGGTAGCTCATTTTCAGCTGGGGGTCCTGGGAAAGGGATGCACTCTCGGCTATGTAAGTTTTTCTTTTATCTAGCCTGTAGCCCCTATGTTATTCCTAGCCTTCATTTTTCTTAAAGTACTCGTATAGGACACGTAAACAGAAACATGAGTCTTAGTCAAATACATACCTATATCCGCAAATTTCATCTGATTTCAGCTGAGTTGCTGAAGTCATTTGTCAGACAATTTACGTGCTCACTTTTCTTCTTCTCCGTTATATTTGGAAACAGATCTCCGTGTATTGAATGAGTATCAGCAGATGCATTCTTTCTCTGCATTCAACAGCATCTTCAATAACACGGGATTGTTCGGCATCTATGGCAGCACAGTAAGGCTATCGTTATGTACTCTTCTTTGCTGTTTATTCGTGCAAAACAATTGTAGTAGTGTTTCAACATGCATGTGTCGATGTGCATGTCGTCTTTTCTTTTATGGCATGCTATAAGCATGATTTGTCATCATATATCAGTAGTGGCCTTCTGATCTTTAAGAATGTACCTTAAGTCGATGTCGTTAATCTGGTCTTTCAGTATCTTGTTTGCCTCGATTTATATTTGCAAAAGAGCTGAATTTGCTTAACTTTCATGCCAGAGCTCTGATTTTGTTTCGAAAGCAGTCGACATAGCAGCCGAAGAATTGATTTTGTTGGCAACAGAAGGATCTGTTTCTCGGCTAATGATAAAACGTGCTCAAGAGGCTACAAAATCGGCAGTACTGATGAATCTAGAATCTAGAGTATGCTCTTGTGAATTATTCTGGCAATTTTCATTTATTAATTTCTTCTTTTATATTAATAATTTTTTTTGTTCAGTTAAATGACTTCTAATATTGAATCGGTTGTATTTTTCAGATGATTGTGGCTGAAGACATCGGAAGGCAGATTTTGACTTACGGAGAACGGTGAGTTTATGGACTTCTAACGCTTTTTTGTTTAAATATCCCATTTTATTCCTGCATGATCACCTACACCAAATCTAAGAAATCGTGTTACTCGGCCTCTGGTGCAAGTGTTGGATATGCTTATGTTTTCGACATGGGTTTGTCCTACGTTTTCTAAGTTTTTCTGCGTACTTGGATGGTCCTCAGAGGATCACATCTGCTGCATTTATTGAATATGCGTCGGATACGGGTTTCAAGATGGCTTGCCTAAAGAAAAATGAAGAATCCAAGTAGTATAGCTAAGAAAATATATGTTTTTAACCTCGTCTTCATGCTCGTATCACATACATGCGAACAAAAACGTAAGTTTATGCATGTTATAGAACGTAAGATTCATATTAATCGTTGTTACTTAAAATAAGTGATCTTTATGTTCTCAAATATGTTTCAAAATTCCCTTTTTGGCTTTCTTCAAGCCAAATGCCGGGCGATACTAATCCTCGACAGTAGTCACTTCGGTGATTATTACAAACATGGTTACCTTGCTATTGAACGCTTTGTCTTGTCCAGACCGACCATGAAAGTTGGGTTTCAGTTCTCTTTCAGTGAGATTTTACATGTTTGTCAACCGAATCGGCATAGTTTATTTGAGCCTATGTTTCGAAAGGATTACGTAATTTATCTTCTTATTACTTGTTTTATCTCATTCCTTGACAGGAAATCTGTACATTCGTTCTTAAAGATGGTGGACGAAGTCGAGCTGCAGGATATTACCAATATGGCTAAGAAGATTATATCCTCACCTCTAACCATGGCATCTTTCGGCGAAGGTAAATATCCAGTTTACTGGTAATTATTTGATCGGAGTTTTTTTCTTCTGAATATTATCGACCGGATTATGAGATTCTTTACCCTTCTTGTTTGGCAGTCTTACAAGTCCCTAACTACGAATCTGTTAGCCGCAAGTTTCATGCAAAATGAGTGCACCACAAACTCTCAGCCGGAGATGGAGCTTACGATGGCAGCAGCAACCATAGCAGCCACACCCCCACACAGCTCACAGCGATCTACTTATACATTTGTTTATTTCACTTTCTGACTTTGACAGCAGCCAGTGAGATTTTAGTTGGCCGACTTGGTTTTGAACTTGGATTTTCGAGTTGAGAGTCCTATCAAGTATCAACATTGGACTTAATAATTCAATCAAACCAACTCAATTTAGACTTACAAGATACTCCGGTTGTTCGTTAACACCATATATCAGAGTTCGAGTTCTTTTACACTCTTTTACCACCATACATAAGGGTTTTTTGTTAATGAAACCTTGCCCCCCCCTCCCCCGGTTATTGTAACACAGTTGATCACGGAGAATTCCGACCTCTTCAATGCACGCAACTGTTTCACCGTCGATACAAAAATGCTGCAAATCCAATTCACGGCTAACTATGATCAAACAATCCGATTCGGTATATCTGATCTAATGCTGGTTTTAAGACTGAAAACTACATGACGACACAGATAAGAAGCTTACTGCCATGGGACATTGCGGACAAGCATCCGGTCGCCTTCATTATCCTCATAAACAAGCGTGTATTTGCCATTTCCATCCAACAAGCCGGTAACAGGTTTCTCTTCCCCTTGCTTGTTCACTACTCCACCAGCAGAAGAATCTCTTTGAGCTGCAGAGGATTTAAACGAAAGACAAACATATGAAATTAACGATTGTCTGTCAGCTACGATCATCTTTAACATAGTCTAAAATAGTTCGATTAACATCAACATCGATGTGAACCGGTTGGCCATCATATCAAACTTCCATCACATAATCAATAAATACGTTCAACAGATTCGGAAATAATAGTACAATGACTTTACCAGAAAGAAGGCCTCTGAAAAGTTAATCAACAGCGGTCGAGAGTTTGTCGTAGCTATCATAGGCTTTGAGATCAACTTTCCTTCCTATCGGAACTCCAGCCATGTTGATTTTCACGAATAGGCTTTTAACATTAGGTCCGGCCGCCACCACTTTCTGTTCATCGGCAACCTTGTCGGGGAGACAACTCGCTGTTTACGATGCTGGTTTCGAAGAACTCGCAAGATTTTTCCTGAAGGAATGAATTGGTGGCCAACCCACAACTGGACCAGGAGCAGTCCTGTTTTCCATCATCATTACTATGGATTTAGACAATAAAAACATCATAATTCATTCAATATAAACAGATACCATGGACTAAAAAATGAACCAAACCGACCAACTGAACCGAGAACCAGTGACCTGTTCGGTAAAATCGGTCATTAGTTCACCCGGATTTTTCATTTTTCCATTCAAGTTACAACCATGACAGACATGCATGGCATGCATTCATATACGACACTCGCTAACATAGTTTAATGACAATCATTCATAAACAGATACCATGGACAAAAAAATGGACCAAACCGACCAATTGAACCGAGAACCAGTGACCTGTCCGGTAAAATTGGTCATTAGTCTGGCCGGTAAACATCCATGAAAAAACCGGATGTACAGAGGGGTAATTCCCCCCCCCCCCAACATTTATATGTGATTAATGAACCTTTAACAACTTGGTATTTCATTAAAATGCATACCATTAAACTTAGTATTAAAATATGAAAAAAACAATTTTGCATCGATCGGACCTGTTCAACCAGGAACTACCTGAAATTATGATTTATATAAAATATGAGAAACAAATGCAAACCCAACCAGATATGGGATCCATATAGATAACATGCAAAGTTGGTAAAAATTGTAGTTTTTGCCGAAAATAAATATTTAAAGTATATTATTTTTATACAAGTAATCAATTTTTCTTATCAAAATATATATTTAAGTATCAACCTTTTTCATTTAGATACTTGAAATATTTGAATATTTTTTGTCAACTTACGTACCTAAAGTGTAATTTCGTCCAAATACTTAAAATTTACATATTAATTAAAAATTAATTAATATTTTAGGTGTCTAGATTAAAAAATATACTTTGAGATATCTACGTCAATTAAAAAATATTTTAGATATTTATACAAAAAAATATGATATATCTTAGTATTTATATTTTAGGGTGAAGTACATAAATAATCCTCGACTATAGAGTGTTACTTTATTGAGTATTCCGACTATCAAAAGTTATAAAATGTTGGCAAAAGGGTACCTAAGACCCTCGTCTTTAAAAAAAATCAATGTGACTCACTAAGTAAAAAAAAACCCTTAATGTGGTCCTTTGACCAACGTTTTCCGTCATTGACCAATGGCTATGTTACTTTGTGCTGATGTCATACATTAAGCTGACCAACATCCTATTTTTTCTCTCAATTTGACCCTCCAACTCAAGAAAACAACTCAATCTGACACTCAACCATATGTTTAATGTTATTATATATGAGAAAAGTATACCATTCATCACTCAAATATCTTACCTCTTCTATTTTAGTTACTAAACTTTAAAAGTTTTCAATTTAATCACTCAACTTTTGAATTACTCTTGTTTTGATCATCATGATTTATTTTATTAATATTTATATATGATGTGACATTTGTTATTCTTATTTTATTAATATATTATTAAAATAATATTAATTAAATTAAAAATTTTAAATCATATTGAAACAAACAAATATTCCAAAAATTACAATTCAATTAAAAAAATTCATCTACTTTATATATTTCCAAATATGCACTCTCCTCCTTTATCCTTTGATTTCATTTTTCTTCCTTTTCAACAAAGATTTTTTTTCCTTTCGTTACCCGATTAAGTAGCTTATCCCCAGTTTTTCAATTTTTTTTGCAAGTTCAATATGGGTTCGCTGAATCTAGTAATGAAAGAAAAAAAAAAGAAATCTTTGGTTAAAAATAAAAAATGTTACATCATACATAAATATTAATAAAATAAATCATGATGATTAAAATAGGAGCAATTTAAAAGTTGAGTGATTAAATTAAAAATTTTAAAATTTAGTGACCAAAATAAAAGAAAAAATAGGAGGGACAGATTGAGTTATTTTGTTAAGTTTGATGGCCAAATTGAAAGAAAAATAGGATGTGAGACTGTTTAATATGTCACATCAACACAAAGTAACATACTCGTTGGTCAACGACAAAAAACGTGGATCAAAAGATCATATTTAATTTTTTTATGACTTGAATGACCTCATTAAGTGCAAAAAAAAAATTTACCACATTGGTTTTTTTTTATTTTAAAAAAAGTACGAGGGCCTTATGTACATTTTTATTTAAAATATTCCTCTAACTATATAATGTTGTTTTATTAAGTGTCTCGACTATTAAAAGTTATAAAATTGTAACTCAACTATTTATTATGTTCTAAATTTATCATTTTCTGTTAAATATTTGATGACATTTTGAGCTTAATATTAATATGTTGTATGATATATGAAAAAAATCTTATATCAAAATATCAAACGATTATCATACTTTATACATCATATTAACATCCAATTTAAATTGTCATCAATTTTTTATTAAGAAATGACAAATTTAAAATATAATGATATTTAACTTTTTAGGGTTGAAATGACAAATTTAAAACAAAGAAATCAACAAATGAAAATTACATGAACCATGGAAATGGATTCCAAAAATCATTCATAGAAAACTCACCTTATACCTTAAAAACACAAGAATCACTCGGTGAAAGCTCAAAACAATGAAGGACCCACTTCATGAAATGAAACAAAACAAGTGTTCATTTGAAATGTAAGTTCTCTGAAGCCTTTCAACAAACATGTCAGGAGCTATCCAGTGTAAAGAGCCTGAAAATCCCATTAAATCGCCCCAGAAGAACAAAGTGGTTTGTTTTTTCAACAACTTAAAGTGTAAAAGCACTATGATAAGAGGTGTGGGTTCTTACTATCTAAAGCCATGTGAGAGAGAGAAAAGAGATGATGGAACCAGTGGAGATTCCCCTTTTACTCGATGCCAAAAAAGAGGAAAAATTTAGAACAACAATCATGCAACCAAAGCTAAAACAACGTTAGGGGTTCTGTTTTTGTCTTTGGTTCAGGTCAAAAAGCAAAGCTTTGCTGTTTTTGCTGATCTCCATTGAAGACAAATACTATGTTATCGTTAAATTTAAAGGCTTCACTTGAACACAATCTTATGAAAGCATCCGCTTTATCATGTGTTTTCAATGGGGGAAGTAAAGAGGATACAAGACACATATGCTTAAAATGTAAACCGCTCGTCAAGTTCAAGTTTTCATTTTTTTTGGGGGCTTTGTTCGTCGTTTAGTCCATGAATGTTTTATTGCTAAAGTATGCAAATATTATATGTTGCTATTTTGTTGAATTCTTTAACTATTAAAAGTATAAAATAGTTATCTGATTATAAGATGCTACTTTATTAAGTTCATTGACTATTAAAATTTATAAAATAATCATTCGACTATTTATATGTTTATACTCATCATTTTTCTTTAAAAAAATGATGTCAATTTGAGTTCAACGTTAATCTATTGACTAAGATATATTAGTCTTTTAGGATTTTTACATTATATTTTATAATATTACAATTAATAGGTTAACGTTCAGCTCAGACTGTCGTCAAATTTTTAATAGAAAATGACGAGTTTGGAACATATGAATAGTCAAATGGTCATTTTATAACTCTTAATAGTCAAGAGACTCAACAAAGTAATGCTCTATAGTTAAGGGATAATTTTGTAACTTTTAACAGTATGGGGACTCAAAAAGTAACACCCTATATTTGAGGGACCATTTGTGTACTTTACCCTATTTTTTAAAAAAAGTTTTTGGATTTATGGAAAAAAAAAGAAAATATCTAAACTTACAAAGTTTACAACCATAAAGGTAAAGTAAAACATATATTTAAGACTTATTCCTATAATTATTAACACAAAAAAATGGCAAAACTGCCCAAATAATGATTTAGTGATTGTTTAATTCCCAAAAAAATCAAGTTTATTTATTATTTCCCGAAATGGGGTGAAATGTACAGTGCTTCAATTGGTTCTTTGGATATCTCGGTGTTTTTAGGGTTAATTTTTTCATGATTGATTTCTCAGCGTCTTTGGGGTTATGACACTATGGGAATGCTCGGCGTCTTCAAGCAATTGGACTGTGGGATCTCTCGGCGTCTTCTGCATGCTATAAGGAATGCCAAGGTGGATCTCTCGGCGTCTTCACCTGTCGTCTGGCGGGAATCTCTGCATGACTCTCTGAATCGTGCA